TGGTCTTCGAGGCCTTTCGGATTGCCTGGAGCAACTCAAGTCATCTTGAACCAGGCCATCCAAGTCACTTTCGAGAGTTGATTATTATAGTATATTCGTCTCAAGCCGGTATAAGTAGCTGCTCTGATATCGGATAGAATGCACTTTGCATTTACTGACGTTGAAATGCAGTCATTTTTGGGTCGACCATTGATACACCATATCTAGGTCACTCTGAAGCACATGTTGGTCGGCGTTCGCCTAAATGCTGCGCCAGATCTTGATATCCTCGGCAAACATGAGGAAGTTTGAAGCGGATCCCTGTGCAAGGTCAAAAATAAACACCCAAAACAAACGTGCACCAAGAACTGGGCCTTGCGACACACCAAACCCAACTTGTATGGGGTCCGATAAAGAACTCCGCACTCTGACCACTAATTGCCTTTGAAATAAAAAACTTGGCGATCCAGCTTAAAAGAGGGTCTCCGATCCAGTAATGCTGCAGCTTGGATAGTAGTATCCGACGGTCTAGATGATCGAAAGCCTTGGAAAAATCTAGATAGATCACATCAACACCTTCTCCAGCGTCAGCTGCCTCGGTCCAACTACTGCGTATAATTAGTACATTCGTTGTACATGACCACTGTCGAAGGAAACTGTGCTGCTCAGGCGTGATGAGGTTACAGTGTTCCAGATAGCACACCAGTGCATCGGCAACTATGGATTCCATGACCTTAGAGAGTATTGGAAGAAGAGATACTGAGCAGTATTTGGAGGGCTCAGTTCTGCTTCCACCTTTGTGAATCGGGTTATTATTCCAAGCTTCCACATGGCGGGAACTTGGTTCTGGTCTAAGCAACGCTGGAAATCTGAGCTAAGGTCCTGCCAGTTGGCTTGTTGCTGCTTCTAATGCCTCTGGACGAATGGTGTCGACACCCGGCGAGCTGTGTTTGCGTAGAGAAGTCAGCTTTTGCAATACAGCCTTTGCGGTAAAAGTGATGTGGGTTAGTCCTGGTGAGCAGAAGACAAAGCTTGGTAGATCGCTTGGTGGCAAGACTCTTTGAAACGTGGGAGCGTATTGCATCTGCATCGCGTTTACTGCTTCCACAGTCATTCTTGTTGGGCCATCAGCCGTCTTGAGTGGAGGAAATCCTTGCCTCACCTTTCGTAGGCTATTAACGTGCTTGTACAGCAGTTGGGGGTTAGCAATGAAGGTTTTTGCGATGTTCTGCTGATAGGCGGCTTTGTCTTCTCTTATCAGTTGAGTGCAGTGGTTACGTTGGGCTACGTAGTTGTCCCAAGTTTCTGGTGCTGGAGCTTCTCTGTACACTCGCCATGCTGCGTTGCGTGCTGTCATCCGTTTTCGGGTTCTGCTCTTAACGAAAGAAACTGATTTGCACTTATTGCAAGCCTTCATCTCTGAAGCTGACTGAAGGTTTTGACGAACTCGAGCCAGGGGATTTCCGTGGGTTCTTCTTCGAGGAACGACCAAGTTGTGGCGCTGACGAGCTGGGCTAATCGATTGTAGCTTGCGATGGTTCGCACAGTCTCATCGTTCTCATTCAGATATGCTGCATAGCAGAAGAAGTTGAAACTGATCACTGCGTGATCACTGCGACCCAACGGGCAGTCTAAAACCAACACATTTATCATACGCTCCTCGTTAGTAAGCACGAGATCCAGCACAGATGGCCTGTTATCTGTTCTGAACCGAGTGGGAAAAGTGATGTAATTGTAAAGAGAAACAGTTGCTTCTAGATCTTGCAGATCGGCTTTGAATTGTTCTCCGATCGTGGCGGGCGTTTCTAAACAATGTACGTTGAAATCACCCATGATAAAAATGTGAGTGTACTTTGTTGTAAACTGCATCTTAAAGCAGCCGCTAAGTGGTAGTCGGTTTCGGGTGTTGAGTTAGGGGCGCGGTACCCCAAGACAATAAGGTAAGCGTCCCTGCCTTTTAACTGCAACCGGCACCAAAGGGAGTCGGGGAACTGTGAGCATAAATCCTCCAAGATTTCGCACTGTAAGTCGTTCCGGTAGTACAGGATTACCCCTCCTCCTTTCGTTGCGGAGCAGCAGCATGCCCGATAGACAAACTTCAGCGTCCGTCATTCCCGTGTGCAACCATGTCTCGGTGATACCAATGACAGCATATGACCCGGAAACTTGGTGATCTTTCAGTTCGGCCAGTTTGTTAGAAAGACCCTGAGCATTCGTATACAAACAGGCCAGTTTCTCGGTCTCTAGTGCCCACAGAGGGGTGCAGGGTCATATGTAGGAGAATACCGACCGATGGGAGGTCGGCAATTACTGGTTTTTTGATGGGACACTGATACATCGTTTGCAACTTGATTCGGCCAAGGTGCGTCTCAATCTTCGTTTAGAATTACAGCAGAGTCAATTAAAGCGGCAGTCAAGTTAGGATTCTGTACATTCATCGGTATGCTTGCTGCTTCAGTTGCTTTAATATTTGAGCTGTGCGAAGTGTGTGCGAACTTTAACCGAATTTCGGAAGGAAGATGTTTCCGCTTTCTCCGCCATCGATCCAAAACATCCTTTGCTTGTTGCTCTGACTGAACCACAAGTTTTTGGATTCTAGGGCTGCATCCTCTATAATTCGATGAGAGAGGTATCCTGGTGAGCGATAGTGCCCCAATATTATCCAAAGAAAGTGTTTCACGAATGAACCGCCACTGTTCTAAATCGTGCTTTCCGGTCTCTTGAACATCGTTAGAAGGATGTTCCGGCACGCCATATATGAAGATTGCGTTTAGGCGGTCTTGCTTGCTGTGTCCCTCTTCGGTGTTTCTTTTTGATTGTCACGCGCTCCAAGCGACATCAGGATGGATACGTATCCCACAGGATCCGTGTTTTAGCGTGCTTGCGGAGAGCAAAACGTTTTCTACGTCGGTGGAGGATTCTACTGTTACTCGTATGAGTCTGGGTTCTCTATAGTGTGGCAAGTTCGGATGGCGAGTAATTCGTAACAAGTATATGGGCTTGGCTTTGATACTCATCTGCATACACAATTAGTTCCATTGGTCTTGGTCGTCTGATAACTTATCCCGCAACGTGATGGCGGTAGATTCAGGGACATTTGAGCATCCAGCAGTCCTTGCACTGTTGTTGGATCCCTTTTTCCGTGATCTACAAGGTACGGTACTCGCTTGTCCTGATCTGCTGACAAGTGTTGATTGTTTGCTGTTTGTCCCTCTATTCGCATTAACGGTGTTTACAATGGAAGAGGCCGCAACAGCGACCTCTCGGTGGACGTTCGCAGCAATCTCTGCATACGTAACTGATGTTCTGGGAGGCTTAGTCTCGACAAGAGATATTTGAGCTACAGGTACAGAGGGTTGGTTTTCGGCTGCTTCATCCTTGTTAATGCTAGATGTCAAGTCTAGTGGAATTTGCTTAACCAGGTATTTTGAGTGGTGCCTGATTTTCGTTGCCGTGAATACTGTTTGACTCTCGTAGGTACGGTCTGTTTTCGCCCGGTGTGCTACCAAAGTTGGAGAAGAAAACGGAGATGAAGAACGTGGCTGATTGCGGTTCAGGGCTAGCGGATTGTTCAGCATTTCGTTGTTCAGAAGCCGCTACGCTTCTGTGATGTATACTTGCTTCCATTGAAGTAATCTCATCGTTTATCCTCTGTTCTACTTCTACGGTTAACCCGTCGCATTTCTCAGCTAGGATAAGCAAGCACTTGACAAGGGGGATGGTGGAACACGCAGTACAGAACCAACATTCATCTTGGAAGCTATTTCGCTCCCGTACCTGTTGTTGGGACACATTTGCACATTGCGTATGATACCATTCCAAACAGTGCAAGCAAACCAGACCGATTTTTACTACCCGATGACATTCTCCTAACCCGCAAATGCCTTTCGTTTGGAGCATCTTCCGTTTCGCATTTCTGCCATTCAATTTGGTGTCGTTAACTGACCCAGTTCTGTACTTTTACAGCTTTGAGAGCGGCGCACATCGGTCAGGCGAGCGTGGTGGTTGCAAGGTCAACTGAGCAGTCGGCGTGATCGCGCGGTCCGTGTGATGGGTTATGCAGGCGCACTGGCTGACAAGGTCACAAAGAATGGAGAATGACTGGAACAGAGCGCTGAACACAGATTGACAGATCACAAATTCTTTCACAGCTGTGTTGAGAAGCACTGGATCGGAATAAGCTTAGGATTTTCGGTCTGCCTCGAGAATTCTGTATCGAATGGTGTCACACAGAAAGGCAATCGGCTCAAGGTGATTGAGGTAAACGCTTGCGCTTAATCTCGGACGCCAATGAAAACGGTTAGTGATGGCGCAGCCTCTAATCGTAGAAAATATTTCCAAGTATGATGGATCCCAGTGTAGGGCTGGTAAACCCCGTTTGAATGAGCGTACAGTGACAACACTGAGAGAAGATGGAGAGAGGATAGAGAGGAATAATCCAAATGAACCAGGAGCACGCACGTCGCGCGTGTGTGTGCATTTACCTGTGTGTCGGTACCGAGCCTTGCCGGATCATATACTCAGGATTGTGGAACATATAGCAACTAGAAACAGGTTGCACTGCGATCTGTCGTAGGGATCAAATGACTTGTTCCCAAGAACCCTTTTGTGTCCATGCACCAAAAGTGACCGCAACACATGACACACATTTCGTAAGAGAAATGTATTTACACTCGTGTCTACTATTGGCGCGGGAGTACTTTAATGGGCTTGCGACAACTCACTTGTCTAGTGACTCAGAAGATGCACTATTACTGAGACCTGCCTTCAGAATATATTTGAATAATGGATAAAAGTATGGTAAATTGTGAAGGTAACTCAGTGTGGCAGTAAAACCATCCATTATCTTCAATGTAGTTTGGTGATACGTCAGACGACCGGCCAGGGCATACCCATTTCACGTGGTAGCGCACATTAATCGCATGCGGCATAACTATTATCACTCAAAACTGAGTATGCTCCAAAAGAGTTAGCACTACCAGGTCGATTCCTTATATCTGTTTCACTCTTCATCCATGCAGGTTAATTTGTGTGGATTACACGGGGAATGGTTCAATATATACACCATTGACATCGACAGGAACCGCAGCCCTGACGGTGGATCAGGGCCTTGGTGTTTTGTACGGATTCCTTATCGCGGGAGCTGTGGCGCTGGTCCTATATCTGGTGTTCAAACACTAACAAAGACTATTCGTTTTTTATCTTGTGTTGATGGATGGTGTTTGTGAAAGGAGAGCTTGCAGTGGGTTGCATTTGAACCCGAACCTGACGTTTGTCAACTAATCCATACCATATATTAACAAATGCTGTTATGTACTCGTATTTTCGTTATTCATATTTGCCAGTAGAAGAAGTCTTTTTTAACTGCATCTTCCACCAGTTGCTCGCCAAAGCTTTGAGTGAACTAGAGCCGTACGCAAAAACCACAATAAAAAAATCGACTGATCCTTGTCTTTAGAATATCAAAACTCAATAACTCCTACCGACTCAAAAACTAACCACATTTCATATTGCTTTTATCCAGGAGAATTAAGGCAAATTAATAAAAGTTTTCCCACTATACCCTGGATGAAATGCGGAGGTTGACAATGATGCAGTAGTGTGTAAAACACGAACACATTTTGTCCACTTTGTGGGCAGCTGGGGGTTTGGTTCAGCGCATTGCCGAGTTGAGCATAAATTAGGATGTATTAATCATGTTTCCACACCCTTAAATTTGCTTGTCATGCCAAATTCAACTTCCTTCGAGCTTTATTGCCGAAAAGCCGATACACAGCGTTAGGTTGTTTTTGGGCTCAATGTTTCTGGATTTCTTTAACGAGCACATGCTGATAACACCTGAGAGGTGCGTGTTAAATCTGTATCCTCTCTCATCACGTCGCCCCAAGCTTGAAGCCTGATCACTAGAATTCATTTTCTTGGTTCCGCACAACAAATGTTTTATAATAGGGGCAAAGCTCAGTATAAACTTTTATGCGATCAATTATTCAGTTTAACCTCGATCATTTGGGGTGCAAGTGGTTCGTTTAGAGCTAGGAAGGTAGGTCTTGACAACCAATTCATCGTTAGTGAAACCGAGAAGTGCCGTATCCTAATAAAGAATCACCGGGAATCGTTAATGCAATTGTGACAACACGAAAACGTGGTAATACTGATACCAGATAACAGATCGGGTGTTGTAATAATGGGAAAGGAAGACTACAATCATAAATTGTCAACAGTCCTTTCAGACTATAATCTTTTCGTTCGTGATGTGACAGGCCGACATAAGACCGAACAGGTAGGGAAGTCATAATCATCATAATCATCAACAGCAGTACATCAGCCATTTGAACTGTTGCTTCCCTGCCGTACAACCATGAGGACCTATGAAATAAAGAATAAGAAGAGGGAGAGAAGGGGGACTTACCTGAAAACCTTAATGCCCTAAGCAAACATTCAAGGTCAAGGCGCCTACACCTTGTGAAGACAACATACCGTCACAAACAGCTGGCTATCGTGCAAAGATAAGGCGGCAACGGCAAGACAGCTTCCTTGCGACTTTCACTGCCACGTGTCATAATCAGCCATTACCCCGCAGATAACTCAGCACCAAACACACTTTAAACAGACAATCAGATTAGGAGACGGCAGCAGACGCGCCACTGGTGTCTACTGCGAGCCATGTCCTGTAAAGTCTTGAGCCAAGCACAAGGCGAATCACATGGACTCCAGCCCGGAAGGTTAGACAGACCAACGGCACCCAGTCCGTCGTCAATAACTTCATTTCCCGCTGCCAAGTCAACTTCTGTCCACCTCGAGCCTTGCGCCATCCTATACCTGGTAGACAGAACAAGGCCCTCCTAGGTAAGCGGTGACCAGGCCTACGTAGCACGTGCCCGAGCCAACGCAACTTATTCAGTGCTATCTGTTGTTCTAGGGAGCTAGCATGATTATCACCACCTAGTACTCGCCTACGCACATCATCGTTGCTGACACGCTGGTGCCATCCGACACCAGCAATGCTTCGCAGACAACGATGATAAAAGACTTGAAGGCACCTCAGATCTTCAGACCGAAGGGTCAAGTTTCATTACCATAGAGCAGAACGGCTCTCACTGTGGCCTTGTATACACGGCCTTTCAGACGGAGGGAAACTCCCTTCTGTCCCCAAAGATGACGCAGGTTCAAGAAGGCAGCTCTGGCCTTTGCAATGCTTGTGCTGACGTCAGTTTCTATGCGCCCATCATTACTGATGCCGCTGCCAAGATAAGTGAATTGATCAACCACCTCGAGTTCCTCGTTAGCAAGCGTCAAGGGGTCATCAAGTGGCTGATGGTCTTGCAGCAACACTTTGCACTTTGAAGGTGCGAAGTACATACCAAATAATGGGACCACTCTGGATAGGCTATTCAGGGTTGATTGTGCCGCTCCAACATTGTCGAAAAGCAAGACGATATCGTCTGCATAATCTAGATCAACTAACCTTTCACCAGGCAGCACTTCAACGCCTACATCGTGAGATTCCGCAAGGGAACACTCCATGATAGAATCCACGACGAAAGTGAACAAAAGTGGAGAAATCGGACAACCCTGACAAACGTCACTTGTAGCCGAAAAGCTATCCGATAGGACACCATAGACCCTGACGCGGCCTGTAGTGTTCGAGTATAGAGCACGAAGGATGTTCACATATTTCGTGGAAACACCTTTCCGCGCAAGTAATTCGAACAGAATGCATCGATCGACTGAATCGAGGGCACTCTTGAAATCGAGGAACACAGCTATTGTCGGTCTGCGGTATGCGTGGCGCTGCTCTAGCACCTGCCGCAAAGTAAATATATGGTCTATACATCCACGTCCTGGGCGGAAACCGGCCTGCTCTTCCCTAATCCGAGATTCCCGTTGTGCAGTGAGGCGACGAACGATAATCGATGCCAGTAATTTTGTCACAACTGGCGTTAGGCTAATACCCCTGTGGTTAGAACAGTCTGTGCGACTGCCCTTTTTGTATATTGCCACTATAATCGATTCGCTCCAATTAGCTGGGACACTCTCTTCGTTCCAGATACGTTCGAATAAGGTGGTCAGTGCCATGCAGAGGACCTCACCTCCATCCTTAAATAGTGCAGGTAGGAGGGGATCCGGGCCAGCCGCACGAAAACGATTAAGGGCTGTGATCGCGTTTCGGACTTCGGCCTCTGACGGAGGCTCTAAACTAACCGTCCATGGCACGTCCTGCATCACCTGAGTAGGAAGAGGTCCGGGAGCAGGGGGCCAGCTGAACTGATCTTGAAAGTGTTCCGCCCAACGAGCCATACGGCGATGCTTATTGTGTATCAGCGCACCCGCGCTGTCTCTGATTGTCTCACTGACGCCTGGTTTTCTGGGACCAGTGGTGCGCATTAGCTGGAAGAGCTTGCGGTAATTGCCTACTGCTCCTGCCTCCTCCATTTCTCGAGCCCGATTGGTCCACCAGGGCTCCTTGTCAACACGTTGGCTCCGCTTTAGTTCACGCCTAATAATCCGTCTGGTCACATTGCGTTCAGAACCAACCGAGAGGTGCCTTCTAGTTTCCAACAGGTTCACGGACCTCTCGGATATCCAGTGATTGGTGCGGTGACGACTGATAGTGCCACAAACAGATGCTCCTGCGTCATGCATAGCAGCCGAGATCCTATTCCACTGAAGTTTAGTGTCATTAGGACAAGACAGCGAGAGTTCGCTATGCAGTGCTTCTTGATAGGCTTGCCTGACCGAGGGCTGGGACAATTTCTCCGTTGCCAATCGGGGGAGACGCTTTGGAGAAACGGCAGCGCACCAAGGCATGATCAGAGTCGACAAAGGTACTCCAGTACGAGCGGCAATCCAGAATGCAACCGCGCCACCTGTAACTTATGGCTATATGGTCAATTTGGGTCCATCGCTGGCCAGCTACAGGTGGACGCCAAGTGGCACTTCGGCGCCCATTGTGTCTAAAAGCAGTGCTACTGAGAAACAACTGGTGCTCTGCACACAGTTGCAGCAGACGCTCGCCGTTGTCAGTCCGTTCGGAGTTAAGTCCATACTTACCACCCAGCTGAGCTTCTGGAGAGCTCAGACGCCCTACTTGTGCGTTCATATCCTCTGCAAGTACTATGATATCTGAACTAGTAACACTGCGTAGTAGGGCGTTCATTTCGTGATAGTATGTGTCCTTGACTGCATTAGAACTGCGGTCGGTGGGGGCATAAACGGAAATCACAAACAAACAGTGTTTTAATGGTGGATGTTTGTGAGTAGTGTAAAATTCGTAGAAAGTGGAAGACACGATTAAAATTCACGCACAATAATATGCCTCGGGCATATTATTGTGCGTGAATTTTAATCGTGACTTCTACTTTCTACAAACAGCGTTTTGTTTTACTTCGCGAATGCACCTTAGCTGATGTCGTCAAACGGGCTGCACATAAACGGCTATTCACCGGAATCCAATCAACCAACGATGACTCAGCCTTGGGGCATAGAATGATACCTACACCAGCTTGACCCATGAGTGCCGCATCGGCGTCTCCGGGTGCGTGCAACCAATAACGAGAGGATAAGCCGGGTGCAGTCAATTCAATAACCCCGTTAGGGTCATTAATCCTAGTTTCGGACGCACAACACACATGAACACCCAGTGTATCCAAGGTGCATGCGAGTGTAGCCTGTTGACCTTTTTGTCTTAGTGTGCGGACGTTGAATGTCGCCATGTAAACGGGACAACGTGGCCTTATAAGGGACTTTTGCGGATAGGCGTCCGATAGGTGCTGTGGGATGGTGGCTGCAGACGGTACTACTCCAGTAGCACTTCGGTTACAATCAATTAAGCTGGGAATTATAGTAGGAAGGTTAGTAATGGGGTTCGGGATAAGAGTAAGAGAAAAAGGTGAAAAAGAAAGAAGGGAGGCGCCAGCAGTAGCATGTTTTCGCTTATCCGCCCTGCTGTATGCAGCAGATAAGGCGACCCTTGATAATCTGCGCGACGGCCGATGCAGGATGAAGTTTGTGTTTGAAGAAAATGTCATGGTTGTATGTGGACTGGGATACTGCCAGAGCGCCCAGACCTAGACCGGAGGACGATTAGGGTCCTCATCCAAAGCCTTTGGCTAAAAAGCCTGTCCGCAAGGCAGCGGGGTGGCAGTGCTTTAGTTTTACAGAAATGGAGGCCATCCCATTTCAGACCCGCAACCTGGAGGACCAGGAGACTGAGTTTGTCTGAACTCTCACCATTGACCAACCTGGTAGGAGTAGCTCTCAAGATGCTCAAAGGCATCACCCAGTATAGCTCAATGGGTCAATGAGGTACGCAAACCGTCGCACCACGTTAAGGTTCAGTCTCGTT